AATCGAATATACTCTTTTAATCCAATTATCTAGCTTCCATCGCGTTAATAGAGAAAACAAAAAGAAACTATTAAATGTATGGATCCATTTATATTCAAAATTAAATGACACAATCTAAAAAGTAGCAGAAACACAAATCATTTATAAAAATTAAGACTACAAAAGTATAATTTTTATGAATGCTTGTTTGGTGGTCAACGTGTCACAGTTAGAGTCGAATGATTTGCACACACATCGAGTGGAATCTACCAGTCGATCGAGTGTTGGCAAGGGTCCTCGGTAGATTGCAATGTTTTATTAAACAATTATTGTGAATTCTAACGATTTAGTTCGCTACGCTAATTTCTCCCGTGCGTCCCGCTAACAATATGTACACGATATTCGGTTGACGATGATTTGTTCACTTGCTCGTAATGCTTTCTAAAAAATAGTTAAAGACAATTGAAATTCCACTCAGATCATAATGGACGTATTAGAAATTTGACAATTATATCGATTGCATATCAAACCGTGGATTTTTGACATTCGTAGCATACGAAACATTTGATAAAACTTAATATTTAACATATCGCTGTTAAACAAACAACGAAACAGATGAATTCTTGTTTAATTTTACACTGATGGTCTTACATAGACCTATATTTGCTTAAAGATTCGCAGACCAACAGCAGGCGTTTACATAATTCTTAAGTTTTACAATCATGGTTTTTTCGTTTACAAACAAAAAATCTGAACAAAATCTTGATTTTTTAGTCGGTATTTGATATAGCCGAAAATAAAACAAAGACGGTGTTAAAAATGATCAGTCCTTATTTTATTGTGTTCTACTGGTTCGCAACTGCCACGAATGTATGAAATCCGACAGTCCAATAATAATGACGAAACATCTCAGAAAATATTGCGCATTCAAAGCTTGAAATTGCCATTTGATAAATTAAAAAAAGGGATTTCAACCTTCGAAATAAATGTACATTCTCTCGATTTACCATTGTTTATCGTCGAATCTATCGACGTGACGACATAGAGCTTATTAACGGGAAGAAAAGTGAATGAAAGTTCGCAATATAATCTGGGACATCCACAATAATAAAAGAAACCCTTCATGTCTCTGATCAATGTACAATCTTCAAATCACACGCGAAAATACATTCTATAAATAAGTAAATTCCATTTCTCGTTAAAACAGACACTAACTTCGTGCAATAATATATTTTATTTATTAACAAACGAAGTAGTGTTAATAATAGCAATGATATTCTATACCATTCGTATGGTACTTTCACACCTACGACGCAAGACTCATATTGTTTTCAATCGTACAAACATTTCTTTCTCGTAAAATAATACAGTTTTCTTACAGTTCGTTACTATTTTTACACGTTAACGAATAAATACATACATGTATATTCATATTGTTACACGAAGTTAGTGTCTATCTCAACAGAAACGAAAAACGGGGATCTCGTGAAGTGGAAAAAAGAGGACTACCGTGCGACGGCGCGCAGTTCCTTCTGCTAGCATGCCGTGAAAAAGAATCGGCTGTCTGTATGGGTTCGCGGCGAACGTAGACGCGATAGGAAACGCGAAAGGGAAGACAGGCAACGACGAGAAATAAAAACAGAAAGAAAGAAAAAAAGAAAAAAAGAAAGAAGGGAAAAGAATAAAAATAACGGTTAGGCCGATCGAGCGAATCCATCGGCGACGGAACGCAATGGTGCAACGCCATGTTGGTTCTTGTTCGCGTTTCTCCTTCTTC